CATCAAAAGAAGAGAGACCGACCATGATGAGGGAGATCTCGAGAGGAGGAAGGAGAGCGAGGTTAGAGTGAAAGAGCGGCACGGAATCGGAGATCTCAACAACTCCGTCGTCCTTAGGGCTGATTCGACCGACGAGGACTCCGTTGACCGCCGCCGTCTTGTGTCGTAGAGAGTGGAGAACGAGTTTAATGTACGCGTTCTGGGAGATCTCATACTTCAATTCGCCGTTACTTCCGGTACCCATCTCTAACTCGATCGGTGACTCACTGGGTCAGTCCGTAAATCGCCGGCGAGCGTACGGTGGATTTGCGATAGGAAATTATGAAGTCGCAAAGCAATCGAGAGATGTTTCTGAGATCAAGTTTTTGTTAAAGACGGATGATGGTACCCAGACGAAACCGGGTTCGGGTCGGGTCAACCCGATTAAAGACACTTAATTTTCCTTAATTTTTTCAATTTAGTACCTTTTACGTTTGTTGAAATTATAGAGAACTCAAATAGGTTTACTGTATTTACAATACTTTACTGATTTAATAAAACTTCAGAGAGGTCACCAAGTTACATATATCTGAAGATCTTGTCAACAATTTTGGATCGAGTACACTTTGCAAATGTCAGTCATACAAGAGTTTGAGAGGTTTAATTGTAATACTGTAATTTTTAAATAATTTTTGGTGAATTTTATAAAGTTTTTATGTTTTTGTTTTGTTTATAATTCCAACAAATACCACTTAAAACTAAAAATTTAGATCATCGTATAATTTACAAACAATTTTCTAAAAACTTATCAGACTAAAAAATTGATTAAAAAAAACTATAAACATTTGAAATTCGATATTTTCTACAAATCATAAAACAAAAAACATTGTCCTATGTTTTACTAAGACCTAGGAAATGTTTAAAGAATAACGTGATACCAACCGAAAGCTCGTAATTCCAAGACTCCTGTGTCCGTATCTCCAACCTCCACTAGCCAAGACGAGATGAATAATCAAAACAAAAGTGAGCTCCAAGACTCGCCACTTATGATCTTCGATGATTAAGTCGACAACAAACGACGCTACAAATCCACCAGAATGGAAGAACTCATCTTCGATATGGCTCTTTATCGATTCCCAAGTCGGAACCGTAGCATCCTACATAAAATAAATAACATATAACTATCCGAAAGTAGACCAAAAAATAAAACTTACCAAAAGGAATCGTACTAAAACTCCAACTGAAATTGCAGCCGCATATTGCGTAGACAACATATTCATAATCATCGTCGTAACTGTTTTGCGAGTCAACTCGGAAAAGCTAAACAGAAGTACAACATATATCGTCGTGTTGATAAACTCCTATGTCTTGGGAAATGCCTAAAGAATAGCGTGACAACGACGAGAGCAAGAAGCTCGTAAGTCCAATCGGAAGTATGGATCTATACGCCACGATGTGAGAACTCATGTGTCCGTATCTCCAATATTTAGTAGCCAAGACGAGATGAATAATAAAAACAAAAATGAGCGCCAAGACTCTAACATATATCTATATGTTTTGTCACTAAAAAATAAACCATGATTTGCTTATACGATTTATCACGATTAACTAATGTTTTCCTTGCATTATGTATATGTGATGAATTTACCTTATCAATTATTATTAATTTTGACTTATTATGCATCAAAGGAAAACATAAATAAAATATAAGCAAAACACAATATAAATTTAAACAAACAAAAATGCAAAGGTTTAATGTTTTGATCATTTTTATAAAGTTTAACGAAAAACATAAAGTTTAATTAAGATATAACGAGATATTTTACACTTAAAATATATTAAAATAAATAACATGTATATGTTTTGATCATTTTTACACATAATACATATCCTTTTTGTACATTTGTAGATTTCTTTTTTTTGGGTCGAAAAACGTTTGTAGATATTAAAAATCATATGATTTGTCATACACGTTTGTAAATTGGGTCAATGATTTTTTTGGCTCTTTGATGTGATTTTGTGAATGGTTTTATCCTACACTAAACTTCAACTTTGAGAAAAAATATAGAAATTGAATTGATTACACTGAGCTAACATTATCAAAAGATGAGAAGGTATGGCTTACCGACTCTGTCTCGCGGTTGTCCCTAGTTAGAATCTCATGTTTCAAAGAGACTGTGAGCTTAAGCAAGTACTCGTGGTCGGAATTCTGCAACCTCAATGGCGGGACAAGGATGTCCTTCAACAACTTCTTCCCATATTTTTTGTTGATCCGAGTTTCAGAAAGAGGAAATCCATGAAGTTGTATTCGTCCAGGAATTTCGGTTTTAGGAATAGTTTATTCCATTTCTTGCATTTCAACATCTTGAATTTCATCTTCTTCAGCCATTTCTCATCAAAGATCTGATGAATATGAGTCCAACATTATAGCTAAAAGTGAATAAATCAACAAGAGTGCTAAAACATGGAACATGTCTGCATAGCTAAGAGACTTGCCAATGCTTTGAAAAATCAAGCGACTCTAATTGTTGTAGACAAGTGTTTATGCCTG